CTGTAAAAATTTCTTATGTTCCCCACAGGGAGAATTTCCTGGCGCAATTTTTTTTTTTTTTTTTTTGCGTATATTTTGGCTAGGCGTAAAAAGGGAGCATCCCGAGAAAGACTACGTAAGCGAGTTTTCATGCATAAGATTATCGCTCATGTGGGACCCCCTCGCCAGACACGTGAACAAAGGTTGAACGTGGCTTCTGAATGAGAAGCGAAGAAATACAAGGTGAAGGAGACATACATATCTTACATTTTAAAGAGAAACGGAAAATTTTTTCATTTTTTCATGCGCGGGAGCAAGATGTGAAAAGATGTCCTCCAAGTTAAGCACCAAGGGTTTTCTCATTTTCGTCTGAGTGTAAGGGGAGAGAGGAAATGCGCCACGAAAAAAAAAAAAAAAAGAAGAAGTAGAAATAGAGGAAGAAGAGGAATAAGAAGCAGAATTGGAAGTATAAAAAATGAGTAACTTCGTCAGCTTTCAGCTGAGACAGGCGGTTCGAATCTTTTTTTTTTTTTTAGATAGCTCCACGTAAGTGTATAGGACAATTTTTTCCTCAAAGTTTTAAGACATTTATAATCGAATTTTGAAGCAACTTCGAATTGCGCTAATTGGCTAATCACTTCGAATCACCTCGAATCACAGCGAATCACAGCCAATTGGTTTCATCCATTTGGAACATCGTAAAAGTTTTTGAGTTGCTCCGGGCGTGTGAGTAGGAGCATACGTTCCAACATAATCGCTTCCCCCGCGCAGCACCTAGGTTCTCTCTTCTTCTAGTTTAACCGCACGGTTGTTCAATTCGACGCGATCGGAGGAGAGGCATATCAACGCGTGAGAAAACTCCATGGAGGGTAAAATCCACAAGAAGTACAAAGTGGTGAAGAACGAAGATGTGAACCATCGGTACACTATCAACGACGTAGAGGTGTATTTCCCCTACGAGCTGTACGACTGCCAGTATAACTACATGTTAAGCGTTCTGAATGCACTGAAGAAGAAGGAAAATGCGATTTTGGAGTCCCCAACTGGGACAGGAAAGACGCTGTGTCTTCTCTGCGCGAGTATTAGCTATCTGGTAGACGTGATGGAGAAGAAGGGAGCTTTCTCGGAAAATATAAACATCACGGAAAATAAAAAGAACATATCATTCGATTTTAGGGAGACTGAAAATAGTAAAGGTAGCCCAGCGAAAGTTGCCCCCCCGAGTGACTTCCCCAAGATAATTTACGCATCTAGAACCCACAGTCAGTTGAAGCAAGTTATAAAGGAGTTAAAAAATGTGTACTTTATTAAGAACAATGAAAAGTACAAACTTCTGACAACGATTTTGGGTTCCAGAGACCAGCTATGTGTTCACAACATTAACTACAACTACAAAGGAACCATGCTGAATAATATGTGTAAGAGGACGAGGAAGAATGGAGAGTGTATGTACCACAATGGGTTGAAATACCTATACAAGTTAAAACATTTATTTACGACCCCCATGGATGTCGAAACACTTAGCGAGATAGGAAAGGGGAATTCGGTAGGGCAAAACATACATTTTTGCCCATTTTACGCCACGAGAGAAATTCAAAATGAATGTCACGTAATTCTTCTTCCATATAACTACCTGTTCGAAGAAAGCACAAGGAAAATCCTCAAGCTGAACTTAGAAAATAGCATCATTATAATTGACGAAGGGCACAATATAGAAACTGTTGCAGAAGAAGCGGTGTCCTTCAAAATTAGAGACTCCGAATTGAACCTCTTTCTTGAGGGTATCAAGGCTACGCTAACGGTGCTTGACAAAGTGAACGATGTTGATAAGGAAGTGAAAGACAGAATCAATGTGGACGAACTGTTCATACTTAATAGAAGCATCACAGCGTTGATCTCCTGGCTGGAGAATGAAAGGTTGGAAAAAAATGAAAAAAATAAAGTTAAGGAAAAACATAAGACGTATGAAGGAAAACAAATTTTTGATATTTTTGAAAAAAACAGCATAAACATAACAAAGGATAATTTTGAAAATTTCCACACACTGCTGTCATCCATGGTCGAGTTACTCAACAGATATATTAACGATTTTAAGATCAGCCAGATAGACGTGAAAAATATCACCAAGTACATCTCTACGATTGATAACATCCGGAAATCGTTCAGCATCCTCTTTAGCGATATAGTCAGAAATTGCATTGAATACTTTCAGCTCTACATTAATGAAGAAAAAGTAGCCTATTCTGAATGTGGTGATGTGAACAAAGTGTACGATAACATGAAAAAATTTGGCAAGAATAAAACCAAAATTGTGTATGATAAGTATAACTACACCATGAGCAAGAACATATCACTTTTGTGCTTTTCCGCCACGGCAAGTTTATGTGGAATTCTAAAAGAAAAAGTCAATTCGATCATTGTAACGTCGGGGACGCTTTCCCCAATCGAACCGTTTTCCAAGCAGCTTAGCGGGAATTATTTCTCCTTCAAGCATATCCTTGAAAATGATCACGTGATAAAATCTCATCAGCTATTCGTTGGCTGCATGACGCATTATAACAATCAAATTTTGCTCTCGACCTATGAAAATAGGAGCAATGACAACTACATCAAAGCGTTGGGGAATTGCATTTTCGACCTTATTATTTGCATCCCGTACGGAGTGTTAATTTTCTTTTCCTCGTACAGTTCTATGACCGAAACGGTGAATTCTTGGAAAAAATTTAAAATCTTCGAAAAAATAAATTCCTACAAGACGATTTTCGTGGAACCAAATAAAGCAGCCGAATTGAAGGAAATCCTAGATCAGTACGAAAATATTATCAAGAAGAAAAGAAAAGGAGCCATTCTTATGGGCGTCTGTAGAGGAAAAATCTCAGAAGGCATAGATTTCAAAGATGACTGCTGTAGGGGAGTCATTATTTGTGGTTTGCCATATGGAAATGTGTATGACAGCAAAATAATTTTCAAGAAGGAATTTCTCGACAATTTTAATTACGAATCTTCTGGAAATGATATGATGGGTGTGGCTAATGGAGGGGTTGGTGCCCAGTCAAACAACACCACCTTATCGAACATTTCCAAGGGGAACAAATGGTACAATGAAGAAGCCATGAGGTCGATTAACCAGTCCATAGGAAGAGTCATTCGACACAAAAATGACTACGGGTCGATTTTCTTTTTAGATTCCAGATTTTCCAACAACCAGAGGATTAAGGAAATCTCCAAATGGGTCAGGACGCACTTTCGCATATATAGAGACATCGAACAGATACAAAGTGACATAGACAAATTTTTTGAGCTCTTTAAGGGGATACAACAGAACAATCTGGACGCAAGCGCGAGTGCAAGTGCGGGGGAGAATACCAAGGTGGACTACAATAGCAGCAGCGCTAGTGGAAATCCAAGTAGTCATATGCAAGAAATCGGAAAGAATTTTCAAGACTGCTATGTCAAGAGCAGTTACTACAAGAGCAATAGGAACAAACACGGCATGCCACAGAACAAGTTTGTGTTCAACCCCATTAAAAAGATGAAAAACCAACCTAAAATACTTAGCATGATACAGAATATCACCAAGGGGAAAAACCAGGAGAAGAGCATTCTGATCGATGGTAAAAAAGATGTGAATATTTTTAAAAATGGTGATGAGGTGGGTGCGGAGCAGCCTGGCGGAGCTAAGCTCAGCAGCACCAAGCTGGATAACGCAAAGATGGACAATGACAAGCTGAATAACGCCAAGCTGGACAACGCCAAGTCGCTCATATCATCCTTTAGAGAAATCCTGTCGAAAGACATTTACGACCAGGTTTTCGAGCTCATCAGGGATACCAAGAAGAAGAGCAGCGAGAATAAGTACGAGTTGATGATTAGCAGAATTCTGGATCTAGTCGTGGAGAATTTTGTTCAAGAAAGAAAGGAGGCCTCAGAAGAGGGGAAAGTCGGAAATGGATCCGCTAAGCAGGGAGAAGATGGCAAGGAAGACTCCCTCAAGGATACATACGACCAATCAAGTGAAACAGAACACTTCAACGATGTAATGACCGCCCATCAGTTGAACATCGTGTGGCGTATGCTGGTTAACCTCATTAACAATTTCTTTCCAGTTCAAGAAAAGGAAAAGTGTTTTCTTGTCCTTCGGAAGAGGTTTAAGGAGAAGACCACTGACTTTGACGAGTTGGAGAAGTATGTGTACAATTATAGGCTGGAAAAAATTGACACCATTTAGGTACGGGAAATGCGCTGTGAGGTGTAGTATATGTGTCCTTTTTTTTTTTTTTTTTTTTGCGCGACCCCCCAGTTGTACAATTGTAAGGCACTTTTACTACCCAGTGGCTTACCTCCCTAATGAATTTCTTGGGTGTCTTGTGCAACCTGCCTTCGAGGTGCCATACAAGTGGTTACGACGCCTCCGCTACCTTCTTGTGGTCATGCCCATTGCAGCGCCCCACACTTGGAGCATCCTTTCGTGTGCTTCTCCCCAACGAGTCTGACTTATCCTGCCTGTCTTACTAATTCCTTTTTTTCTGTGTCCAAACGGAAACTTTTTTTTTTTTAATTTTTTCAACAGAAGAATTTTGACATGTTTCGATGTCTTTTTTTTTTTTTTTCCAACCTCTTTCGCGCCAATACTGAGGAAACCCCTTTGAAAGAAAAAAAAAAAATGGCGATGACGATACGACGGGGCACTGTTCGTAATATCTATGTTTAAGAAAATTTAAAAAAAGTTATCACCATGCGGAGAAGGTTGACATGTATGTTTTTCTCAAAAAAAAGGAAAAAGTAAAAGGTAAAAATGTGCTCATGGGCCCATGCGCATATGTACACGTAGCCGTCTCAGATGCCTAGAGAGGACCTCCTCCCCGAGGGAATGCTTCAAAATCTCGTTCAAATGTATCGATGCATTTTTTTCTCAATAAAAATTTACGAGTTGTCTGTTTAAAGGAGCTGCACATGTGCCGATTAGAGTGTGTAGATCTTCAAGGCGACTGAAAAAAATTATGTTTAGCTCTGATAACACGCTAGGGGAGGTAGTTTAGCGCTTCCACTCCACTACTGTAATTGTTCTACGAAGTGAAGATGCAAAGGGGAGAAGCGGGGAAGAGAATAGAAACAAGCTAGGGGGGGAGCACATGTGCACATAAATACGTATGTGTATAAAAGCTCACTCATAATGTCTCCACCTGGGTGCAATCAGGTGTGGCCCGTTTGTGCCCACTCACCAGCCGATTTTCCATGTGCTTTTTGAATCTGCTGTACACATATTTTATTAAAACTACGAAGGCGAAGAATACCAGGGAAGCCAAGAAGGTTATGAGGAATATCTTCAAAAGGCTATCGTGGGGAGGAAAGGGGAGAGAATTCCAAGTGGTGTCTTAATTTATTTAGGTGCATCTGAGCATGTACATGTATGGGCACATGTATCCAATTGCCGTGGTTCACTTAAACACCTACCCGTGCGTTGAGCTCATATTCTTTAAGACTTCTACATTGGGGTTGTCGGTGGTTATGGGGGAGGCAATTTGGTTCCTCTTCTGAGACAAGTAACTCTGGAGGCTGCCACTGGGGTTGTTCGGGTAATCGTCCCTCAGGTTGTTGGTGATTCTTCGCAGGATGTCTGAAAAGGGGGAAGCGGACAAATTGGAGAAAAATGGCGGAAAATGGAAGAAAAAAGGGAAGAGAAAATAGCGGAAAAAATAACCGAAAAAATGGAGCAAAAAATAGACTGAACAATTGTGAAGCCAAGTATATGAAAAGGTGAAATGAAACACGCTGTTCGTTCACCGCAGGACAATGATTGCAGCAAAAATTTTAATCATTGCAAAGAAAAAAGAAAAGGAAGAGCCAACTTATGAATTTTTTTTTTCTTCAAATTTTACCTTCTCTGTTCTCTTCGTATTTTAGGACAAACTCTTTCATCCCCGCTTGTTTTAGGTTTTCTTCCGTTTTCAATTTAGAATCGTCGAAATCATCCAGATGGATAAAACTTCCCGAATTGCACGCAATCCCCAGGTCATTCAAACATGTCCAACTCTTTGCACTTCCAAGATGGGACAAACTCTGCAGAATACCCACATTTCTCACTCCTTTAATTCCTCCCCCGTTCTTTAGCCTTCCCAAGTCTGAAAAATTTTCGGGGGGGATAAAGGTTGTCGCTTCGGTCGTATCCATGAATTTGCTTTTCGCAGCAGAGAGAGAGACAGAGGAAAATGTCGAATGGATAAAATTTCTGTGCGGCGTTTTCTTCTTAGAAAATTGTCTTGTGGGGGTGAAAGGGTGTGTACACGTCCGTGGCGGCACACTAGCGGATGCATAGTCCAAAGAAAATTAAAAAGGGCGATGCGACGGTGTAGCGATGATAGAACGCGGTGCGAATGTATAGCGGAAATACACACAAGACGTGCAAAAAAGCGAAACAAAAGAATTCAACAAAAGGGAAGTGAGCTTTTTTGGGCCTCAAAAGATTGTAATTTTTTTCCCGTCCTCTTTTTTTCCACTTTTGCAAACATATTGGACAGCCCGAACGGAGGGACAAAATGGCATGGCAAAAAAAAAAAAAAAATTAAGGGCAAATTATTAACAAATTAAGAGGACATTAAGAGCAACATTTGATGGCTCATAATCAGAATAATTCTTCAGCACAAGTTGCATTTGCGTCATGCTGGTGTAGAAGTTATAAAAAGAAATCCACTTCAAAAAGGAAAAAGAAATAAAAGTCAAATGCTCGAATAGACGGACGAAGCGGTAAGAGGATAAACACAATACACAAATGAGGAAGCTGCAAATGGGACAACTAATTGGCAACGACGAAAAAGGAGAAGGCAACTCTTTCTCCACTTTTTTTTTACTTTTCACTTTCTTCACGTTTTTCACTTTTCATTTTTTTTTATTCTCAAGTGCCCCCATTTGCGCGTGGACGCATTTTTGTACACTTCAAAAATAAAGCGGATGCCACTTTTTCCTGGTTTTCTCTTTAAGTCTACACACCATGAAGGAGAACATGGTAAGGGGCATTTATCCTCCATGCATCCAAGCGGGCTTCGGAATACGGAGGAAAAGGAAGACTCTGGTTTTTCGAACAAGTCGGTTACTTAATTCGGCACGCTTGTGGGCACATGCAGCTTTGGGGGGGAATTCTGCAGCAATTTGGATCAATTCGGATCCATTCGGATCAACTTTGAGGTATTTTTTGCAACTTTCTTGACAAATAAGGGGCAGCATTTCACACCACATGTTAAAAAAATCGCCTTTTTTCTCCCCCCCTTTTATGCATCAAAAAAATGAATGGTTCAGACAGACAAACGAAAGGGGACTCCATAAAATGCCCCTAAAATGGAACTTCCCGCCGGGGTACCGCACCGAATGAGATGTTGTCAAATACGAGCGGTTAACAAATAGGAGGACTAACAAAATGACTGTGTGGACAAATCGGATTAGTAAGAAACTGTTCCATCACTTCATTTGCTTGGAGATCCTTTTTTTCTTCCTTTTTGAAAAATGGCTTTCCAGACATGGTTTGAGGGGGGGACAAATGATGAGAGGGAAGAATGTACATCACGAAAACGTCCCATTTTCGTAAGCGCAGCGCTAAAAAAAGAACAAAACGGAACGGACGGAAGAACAGACGGGGAAAGGCGATAATTATTAAAGAAGAACAGCATCAGTTTGCGTGTACTCTTGTCGGGAACCAAGCGGGTGGACACCTCTATACCATTTCAAAAACGCCATCAATTTTGCATCTCCAATTTTTGTGTTACGCGAGGAGGGATAGTAGTTTGTGTCTCAGTTCCCCTTTCTTCGCGCACTGCGAAAGGTTATATATCCTTTTGAATTATATTAAGGTAAATAGCAGCCTTCTCGCCAGCAAAGTCTTTGGTCACACGGCTCTGCGAGGGAGCAATTTTCTGTAGTTTCATTAGGAGGGCTCAATATAATTACATACACAGGTAGATGCAAAGCTGCATGCAAAGGTACATGCAAAGGAGAGTGCCTATTTTGCGTTAGTAGGAGAGTCAGACTTGTCTCCTTCCTAAATTATCGTTTACAATTTGGGCAAATCAATATTTGTCGCGCAATAGGACATCATCATTAAGAAGAGAAAACGGTGGAAACACAGGGATGTAGGCAAATGATATTTGAGGGGGGTGCACGAAGGAGGCGCTTTTTCAAAAGGGACCCGTCTCTAATTACTGTATCGAAGTTGGGGGCACGACAAAAAGGTTAAGAAAAGCGCTGGAAGAAAAAATTAAAAGTCAAAGAAAACCTGTTCGGACGATTACCCTTACATTAAACAATCGTAAAGACCTGGTTATCCCTGTTGAAAAATATTTTCACGTTTAGATTTTCCGCACTTTGGCAATTTTTGCGTTTTTTTTTCGCTAATTGAATTCAACTTCCGCAGAGTTCCGGGCACCTCACGGGGAAAACGCCGCTAATGTCACCTCTGCATAAAATAAGGGGACAAAAAAAAAATAGAAGCAAAACCCTTTCTACATACGAAGAAAGGTGGATGCACACTCCTTACGCATCATAAAGGAAAATATGTTTTACCGTTTTGTTTACTTCTCTCCCCCCAGTGGGTATTATAAAACCGCTTCTCAGGAGAATTGCATGTCGGTTTAGGCGGCATTTTTTAGCTACATGTGAGTGCCATCTGGCGTGGTACCTTCTTGTCACCCCGAAAGGATAACTTGCACTTACCAAGCGAATATAACTAACGAAAAAAAAAAAAAAAGAAAAAAGTTACCTGTCGCTCGTCGACCTTGATATGAATGCCTTTGTGTGGTATCACTAGACGTGCATACAGCTACCCGTGTGTACATGTGCGTGCTGGTCATATTTTCACGGAGAATAGACGAGGCACACAGAGAGTGGCCAGGTGTTTCTACCGATAGGGTGTAGTCATGGTGGATGTGTAGCGCTTCGAATGGAGATGCAAAAGAATGTGCATGTAGCGAATCTCCCTTGTAAAATAAAAAAAATACAAATACTCACACGAAGCGGTGTGTTTTTTTCCTTTTAGAAACAAAACCGTACCAGCTATGCGGGCATTTCTCCCTTTTTGCTCACACCCCAGATGAACCCTCCTTCGATTTTAGCCCTATTACCTTTGGCTAACATGATAATTGGTGATTGTCAGCGGACTGTTTTTCCTTTTGCGTGGGTATCTGTACGGCATCTACGCGAATGCACGTGCGCGCAGGCACTCACTGCCACTGTGGATTGCCACAGTGCATTACCAATACATACTGTTCAAATAATTAGGAAGATACATACGGCACGCTAACTGCCATTTGTGCCTCTTGCCTGCGTCCCGGGGGATGCATGTGCAGAGCCTGACTACGCATCGCCAGTCTTTAATTACCATGACATTCATTATAGTTGGACTCGCCAAATTTTCTTCGCCGTGCAGTAGCATGTTTCTACTTTCTTAAGAGATTTTCTCCTTCGAGCTGCTTTGAAAATATTGATGAGAAAAGGAGAGCGGCAGTTGTGTGTGTTGGGATGTGATTTATTCCTTTTCCTGAACCCATATTTTTGCCTTCTTTTAAGGTTTTTTTATTTTTTTTTTTTTTTTCTTCTTTTTATTTTTCTTTTATTTTCTTTCTTTTTTTTTCTTACCATTTTCCACAGCGCATGACAGTCGAAATGATTATTCGAATGACGGACGCATATCTGTTAATGTAGATACCCATGCGTAAATACACACCCAGTATGCATGTTCCTATTTGAGCACAAGAATCCACGTAAAGATACACACATGGCACATGTGCCTGTGGAAAAACATCAGTGACAAAGGTCAGTCGAAGGGACTGCTCGTCTTTACGTTATTTTACTCTCCGTTTGTTTGATCATCTGCACATTTGCTCATCTACACACCTGCACATTTGCATACCTGTTCATCTGTCTGTATACCCCTTTGGGGCCTTACACGATTGGTACCTACCCCCGTGGAATTTCCCTCTTTAGTGGTAGTTCACCGTAGTATTCCCTTTGAGGCACACTCATAACACTAGACGTGGGAGTGCATCCATTCCTCCATGGAGAGAATTACGTCCCTTTCTCCATTGGGGGTGTCCATTTTGTGTTCATAAAGTGGACGCTCCTTAACTGTGTCGACGCTTCCCTGTTACCTTTATGGTGGGCATCTATGTCTGCCCCCATTTATTCTTTTGTTTTCCTTTCTATGTGCACTGTTTTCAATGCTTTGATCCCTTTCGTCGTATGTTCTGGTACCACACCCTGATTTACGGGTAGGCCCTTTTTCGCCTGGGACGCACTCGCCAGAAGTTCACCTGTGTCCGCCTTGTCTTTACACCAAATAGGATCAGTCGTCAGAAAAGTAACAATTACATAGTGTGTTGAGAGCAGTGGGCCGAGTGGTGAATACGGCTTCCTTACCATTTTTCTACATAGAAATAGCGAAACGAGGAGGGAGGGTAAAACTCCCCATCTCGTTTTTGTAGCCTCTCCATTTTGGAAACTCGCACATAACCACTGTCGAGTCGTTTGACATACCGACGTATGGAAATCATTGCGATTGTTAAGTTCCACAGCGGCTATTCCTTTTCGACGTTTTGTGCGTCTGTTTTTGGGGGTTCTCCTTCAGGTACATTGCGAAGAATCCTCTGCAAACAGGAGGAACTACCCCCTACACACGTGTGTAACGCGTACAATTCTAAAGCATCTATAATCGTACATATACACATGCTGAGTGGAGGGTAAAATAATTAATCCTCTGTGAATAGATGTCCCTATCTGCAAATGCATGAATCCATAAGTGCGATGCGCCCTGAGTGTACATACACGGTATGTCAAAAGTGCACATATATAATAGTAGTTTTCTGCTGATTTATACATCTCATGATTCCCTCATTTGTTTTCGCTACTGTCGGGACCCCCTCAAACGGGACTCTTATGTGAGTGTAAGGAGAAACCTATCCAAATTGTTGGCCCAAGAAAATACAACTCCCTTTTTCGCCAGTTGTAATGAAAATGCGTTTAGTAGTTATTTGAAAAATGCTGTGGTGAGGAGATTTTTTTTTTCTTCTTACGCAATTATATGTACATATATGAACGAATATTTAATATATGCCTTTTTTTTTTTTTTTTTCTTCTTCCCATTCGGTATACCTTTTTTTTTGCTGCATACGAAAGATGTTCCTTGGGTTAATCAACAAAACCGCTTTTCACATTTTAGGGCAAAATTTTCCGCAATCCGTGCCATGTGTAGATATCTATACATATGTGTAGAAGCGAGATTTCCATTTATTGATAACATGCGGCTCTCCGCGGCGTTATAGACTGTACTGTACCCGCAAATGAGTATGTGTA